AAGACTAATGAAAGCCAAGGGTAACTGTGGCCCGACCTCTCCAAGAGGGYTCTCTATCATCCATGAGGTCTTAAAGCAGTTTTTATTGCTGTACYGTGGGATTTGAGCTTTGTGGGCTTTAAGAGGTTCTCGGCAGGGGCCTGGCTCTGCTTAGCAGTGCTTACCTCAGACTTAGTGATACGGTGTTGGCATTTGTGAGCGTTCTTCCCACATCTTGGACACATGGAATCACTTGTTTGTTGCTGGTGCCAGGGTGGTATCTCATAAAACATTTGGAATTTGCATTAGCAAGCTAACAAACAGCAGAAGAAAGAARATCATAGAATATTGAATCATTAAGGTTGGAAAAGACCTCTGAGATCATTAAGTCCAACAGTAATGTWGCCCTGAATGAGCATGACATCTGGTACAATAAGTGCCATGTCTAGTCTCCCACTTCTGAACACCTTGAAAAAATGAATTTGGCCAGCTGAAGGGGACTACGTCCCAGCTCTGCTGCACCACATTGCTCAGCTTGGCTTCCCTGCATCTTTTTGGCAGGCTAACTGCACAATTTATGGATGAAACTCCTCTGTTTTCTTGCCTTCCTGAGCTCTGAGGATGGGCACCTGGAGGTGAAAATTTCTGACCTGGAATCACCTTCTGAAGAARTACTAATCTAATTGGAGCTCTCACTTCAGTGAGCTCCCCAAGGACTTATTTACATTTGGAAGTTAAATCACCTACGTGCACTTCATACCATCCAACAGGAGTGAAGTTCAGTGTTTTTTCAGCCTGAGACACAGGGGTAAAAGAAAATACCACGCTGTCCCTTCTGGAGCTCCAAATGACACRGTGGTGACTGTGATTTATGAAGGTGCTGTAGTCTCATCCATCACTCAGCCGCCTCTCCGATGAACTATTGACATCTTCAGTGCTTGTTAGTGAGGGAGTAAAGATGCTTGAATATGACATTTTAGCATCCAGCTAAATGAACTCCTTATCACAAACCCTTTGAAGTATGTAAGGAAGATGGTCCCGTTTAGAGGTTTTGATTGCTGCTCTTACATTTTCCAGTTCAATGTGTTTGTGGAGGATGAACGTGTTGACAGACCAAGAAATCCAAGACRGGAGACAAAGTTAATTTCAGTGTTGGTGTAGTACTCCCTCAAAACACTRCAGGCTGCTTGCCCTGGCATTTATGGGAATACACAAGGCACTTTTGCTTAGAAATTGTGTGGAGGGAAACCCAGGGAAAATTCTCTGTTGTGAGCRAAAGGAAGCCTTTGAAGTGAGTAGTTGGTCAGAATTTGTGCCTTGATCCCATTTTTTTTTTTCAGGCCTAGAAAAATATGTTCTCTTGTTTCCAAGAGAATGGCTCAGATCTTACCATGGGGAAAATGAGAAGAGTATTTGGATTTACCATGTGGGACCATGTTGTTGTCAGTAGAGTTTGGCTGGATCTTGTAACATGGACACCTCAGATGACTTTCTGCCACTCCTACGTTCACCAGATTCTGGTGTTCATTAGGGTCTGAAGGTCAGGGAAAACCGTAAGACTTGCCTAAATTGTGACTGTTTGCAGCAAGAGCCAGGGAAAAGAAACCTCCAACCATGCCTTACTGAAATGGCCAGCCACTTAAAAACAATCAGAGATTGCTTGAAATCTTCAGTAATGACCTGGATAATGGGGTAGAGTTTGTGGGTGGTACCAAATTGGGCAGGGCAGTTGTTACAGCTTAACTGGAAYACTGAAATATCCAGTTTGGGGCTCTGCAGGTGAAGAGAAGTGTTGGAAAACTGGAGCAAATCCAGTGAAGCTCCACCATGCTGGTCAGGGATTTGAAGCGCACAGCATAGGAGGGGAATGCTGAGGGACACTGTTATTCAGTCTCCAGAAGAGAAAACTCAAGATGGGATCTTGTTTCTGTTTACTGAGGAATAGGTGGTTCTACAGAAGACTCCTCCTGGAGACACACAGAAAAAAACAGCAAATAAACACCAAAAGCAGTGCATCCGAGTTGCTGCAATAGAAACCTGATTACACACAGGGAAAAAATTTTTCACCTGGAGAGGGGCTTAGCCCAKGATCAAGTGTCCAAGGAGTTTGGGAAATATTTCTCTGTGGAGATTATCAAAACTTGCCTGAGCAAATTCCTGAGCACCTGATGTAACATCAAAGCTGGCTGTTCTTTGGCCAGGAGGTTGGAGTGGGTAGGCTTCAGATACTGCTTTCAGCTAAATTATTGGATGGTTCATGTGCTGCAGTCCCAGCAGGYGATGTTTCCCTGTGGATATATTTTTGATACTAAAGTTTGCAAAAAGTCCATGTAAAAGAGGCTTTTACAATCTTGGTGCCCTACTTTCTGTATGAGAGGCTTTCATCTTCACCTGTAGTTGAAGCATAGAGAGTCCCTTCTACTCTTCTGTTCATTTTGGCTGGTGCGGGTTGAGCTGGAGCAGCCTGGCAATCRGAGAGTTGAGAACTTCACTGCTGATACTTGTGATTGTGGTGGCCTGGTCTGTGCCCAGAGAAGCTGGGTACCCAGGGTTACATGTACACTAGAGTGGTCAGAGCACAGATGCTGGAACTAGATCTGTAATGTGAAGTTATAGATAGTCCAGGGCATGGTTTGTTGCTTTGGCCCAGATAACTCTTTTCTAGGCAGTCCAGAAGATCACCGAATTCWGGAATGGTTTGGGTTGGAAGGGTCCTTAAAATCATCTTATCCCAATCCCCTCAGCATGGGCAGGAACACCTTCCACTAGGACCAAGTGGAAAGCTCAAAGTCCCATCCAGCCTGGTGTTGAACACTTCCAGGGGTGGTTTGAGGGTTGGTTGTAGGACAAAGACTGAGTATCATCACTCTGATCTGGACAATAAGTGTTTTACAGCACAGTTGTGGGTTGTGTTATTGCAGCTGGCCTCGGGGACAGAGAAGGTTCAGGGTAAGTTTAATTTACCAGTGAATGTGTACCCAAACAGCGCAGGCTGCACCTGGGACAGCTAAAATACCACAAAGGATTGCAGTGTTTGGACCTCCTCTGGCAGATGGAGCTACCTGGATGAATCTGGGTGTCTTGGGCTCTGTGGAAGAGGCTCTTATAACTCAGGCTACATCTGCATCAGTTGTTGGGCTGGTGAAGGGTCTGGAGCAGGGTCCCACAGCTCCCTGGGGGCACTGTGAGATGTTATTTTCGGTGTGTATCATGGATAGGGCTGGAAAAAATAATGCAGCTACTATCTGATAAAGGGAACATGGAGATTGTGCTCACCTGCCATGGACACATCATCTGGTCTGTACTGGGTACAGTGAGAGAGACTCTGCTGCCTGGCCCTGTGGTGGCTGACCTCATGTCCATGCAACTAAACCTCCACCACATACTCCTGCTTTTCCATCCAAAATACAGTGGGAGCCTTCTGCAAACTGACTAACCTTGTTACATCTCAGGCTGTAATACCTGTTTAGAGTAATTCTAGCTGGCAAAATCATYCTCAGACACAGGGTAGCACTTAAAGGGAATAAAGGTGTGTCCACAATTTAGCCCCCTTTGATTTCCTAACACAGGTTCTGCTACTAAAATCAATATGGATGGAGACCATAGCCTGATTGGAACTGCATGGGAGAAAGGAGGTCATCAATACCAGGACATGACTAGTGATGGCTAGAAAAGCTATCAATGTTAGTGTGARGGTATATGGCAAATAAAACTCCTAGAAGCATTTTCAGTGTGCTGAATCTTCAGCTTTGGCACAAGGAGTCAATCCAATCTGTGAAGGTGGAAAGCAGAGCCTGTAGTTTGTTAGTGTGTACGTATTYCTACGTGAGGAATGTCCCAAAGGCTGGGGAATGTTGGGTGCAAAAGGCTTGTTGTGCCTCTCACAAGACCAGTAATGGGTAATTCTGCACACGCCATGGATATGGTATTTTCCTGTGCCACAGGGCAAGGCCCCCGAGCAGAAAGCTGTGGGATGTTCTCTATTTTGTGTGAGAACAATGACAAATAAAAAGAATAGGCACCCTCCATGAAATCCTCTGCAGCGCTTAGATTTGATGAGTTTCTCTRACTGGACATTCAAAAAAAGACAATGGATCAGCATTGCTGCATGCCAGATGTTTCCACTGGAACCTCTGACACTCATTGGATCAGAAATCTGCTATGGAAGTTTGGGTGGTTCAATATGAAAATGTTCACACGGAGCYTTCTTTTGTCATTTACAGCATGTGAAATAAAATGCTGCCTTTGATTTGAGAAAAAAAGACATTTTACCCTCTAGGCTTGGTTTTCTGTGGCTTTCCTGTGTCTATCATGGCTTTTATTGTTGTGYTGGTTCTAGCACTCAGTACCTTTTGAGGTTCATTTTCCCTTCCTCCCCTGCCTCCAAATTAGTGACCTGAAGGGGTTTGTATTCCATTCTCTGTAGCTATCCTGTTCTTTCTAGCAACAATTTCATGCTGAACAAATGTCTCCTTGCCAGTTTCCTCCTGAGCTTGSTCCTGGCTGGACAGTGAAAGCAAACTGGCAGTCTTGCACCCAAAAGCTCAAGACCTCGTCTGTGAAAATTGTGCTTACTCTAGGTGAGAAAACAGGCAAAACCGTCTGGTAGAAAATAATACTTGGGAAAATACTTTTGGAACTTCTCATATTCTAAATTCATGGTATGGGATTAGATTTATACATACAACACCTAAGAGCAAACAGGGATGCTGATTACCTCTGTCTTCAGCAGGGGTCAGAGAGGGGGATTTGAGACACTTCTTCTGGGTGTTACAAAGACTAAACTTCTTTTATTTGCACTATTCTTTGTATAGATGTATGGGGGTTTCTGCTTCTTCAGTGTTTTTTCAATTTATTGGTGATGTGTTAGAGCCAGATACACCTTCCCACATAAATACAAAGACTTTTAAATATGGAAATCTTGTATGTCCTCTTACAGTCTGCATCTGGTAAATTATTTTTGGGTAATTTCTGTTGTGAATGGATGAATATTCACAAGTAGTATTATTTTTCCCTTTTAGAGTGTCAGTCAGCTACTGCTCTCCAGCTCATGATCAAGCGCTGTCATGGGAAAAGAAGCTGCAGCATATATGCYAGCACCTATGAATTTGGAGATCCTTGTTACCCAGGCATCCAAAAGCATCTTAATGTCATCTACACCTGTGGTAAGTTACAAAGTCCTCTTACTGTAACTCTCACTAGGGTGTATGTTTGTTGAACAGTGGTGTGTGGAGAAAAACACGATGCAAAAAGTTGTTGAACTTCCAATTGGCTCATGGTGATTCTTATTTGGTCCACAAAGGGTGGCTTTGAATCACCAGAGTGGTTTAATTCTGGCACTTCTTGTACTTATTGGCTTGATAGAAACAAAAAAAAAAGTGGAAATGATATTTTATTAACTCATTCAGCTGCTTCTTCAAGGCAGGAATATCTGGCGGTGRTTGGATGTTTACACACTGAACATTGGCATTCTGCAGCAAAGCTGTGGTTATCAGTAGGATACCTACTACTTTGTTCTGTGTTTCATTTTTTATCACAGAATCAGGTGACTAGCAATCCATACTTATCGACTCAGTGATATTAGAAAATCATTCCCAAAATCTTCATCTAACCAGTGCAACAATTTTTCTAACAAAATACTGTTGTTAAAAAATCCCAAACAAAACAAAACAAACAGTTGGAGCTCTCAACTGGGACCTTAGGTCATAGTGTTGATCAGACACTGTGCTCCTACCTGACTAGTCACCTTATTTTGCAACAGAGGAAAAGTTGATCCTGTCTGAGCTGTGCAGTGTAAAAACATCAGTCTTACTGTGTTGACATTTTGGTCATTTGTAGCTGACATATTTGAAAATATTTCCTTCAGGGTTTTGCTTACATAGTTGTTGCTAGGATCAGCTTGGTCTCTCTCTCTCTCTGTGTTCCTCTTTGCATCCATCTGGAATATGGAAATTTTGGTGGTGTACTGAAGGTGCTGAGCAGACAGCAGAGCACGTGGCAAAGGAGAAATTCTCTGTGCCCTCAGACAACAGTGGATCTGTGGGTCACACTCTATGTGTAACTGCAGGATGCTGAGTGAGACAGAAAGCATTTGAGACAGTCACTACAGTGTTTTGTGTAGTGGCTACAGCTTGGTAGAAGAGCAGAGACATTAATGCAGGAGCATCAGGCTCTGAGCTCATCTGGCTGTTGTTTCACTTGGCAGGACAGGCAGAAAGGTTGGGTTTTGTTTGAAGTGATGCAGCAAGAAGTAGTAAGGCCGTTCATGCAAAGCCCTGTGAATTTTCTAGTCAGGAAAGTGATGTTTTTATATCACTTTTCTCATAAAAAGACTGGAGAGAAGCTTATCCTCATGGGGATTTGACAGAAACGAAGGCAATGCAGCAGGAAAAACAGGAGCTCCATCCCTCAAAAATCCAGGGAAAACAAACAGAGCCCCATGATGTATTTCCAAGAGGATTTCTCCTTCAAAGGCCTCCACAGCCATATTCTGGCAGTGTGGTCCTGGTCTCAAAGTCCACTACAAAAGGCACAAATGATCTCTTAATCTGACCTTAACTCTCTAGTCCAAGCCTAACTGCATCAGGAAATGAGTCATGCTTGAGATCACAAAATGGCATGTTTTGCTTTTCTGTGGGTGAAATCTGCCTCATCCTTTGAAGGTGGCCATGACTCCTTTTCAAAACCATGATCTCAGACATGTCTCTGAGCTGGATTTTGTGATCAACAGACACATATTTCTCGCCTCAAAGAGCAAAGTCTTTCAAAAATGAAATAAACAAGAAATTAAATTCCAGTTCTGTGTGCTTGTGCCAGACAGAACTATCTCCTGGAATTCTTTTAGAAGAAATGATAAAAACAAGCAATTTGGTATTTTTAAAGTTTAGAGAACAATAGTGGTGTAGAAAACCTTCCATTTGCTGTCTCTGTTTCAAGTTTCCATAAAGCTGCACACATTATGGCTCCTGGTGTAGTGCTCTCCTGTTTTCACCAATTCTGTGGGAGTGAAAAGGGGCAGGCTGTGACAAGTGGACATGACTGCACTTCTCAAAGGCCGTATGTCAAGACATATCCCTGTTCCCCACCTCTTGCACTTGGAAACATGTATTCCCTTGCTGCTSTTTCCTGGAGAGCAGTGAAAGAGGCAGCGATCCTGGTATAGCTTGGGAAATGTGATGGGTGTACAAATGGGTTTCTGTAAATGTCACTTCAACCCTTTTTGTTGCTACTTCAAATAATTTTGTTGCTCCTCATCACTGTCTGAGATCAGGCAGTGCAGTCAGTCTGCTGCTCTCTGTCGCTCCCTTTCTGCCAGACTGGCAGAAATGTCCTGCCACGTGTCAGTATTTGGACCATGTCACTGCTCTTGTGAGAAGAACAGCCACGTGTCCTTGGCCGGTGTGACTGACCTGCTGCATTGCTTCAGAAGAGGTGGTGAGAGCAAGAGCACTGATGGATGTGGCCATTTGGTTGGGAGAGGCTCTATGCAGATATTTCCCATGTGAAGAACTTCAGTAACTGTGGGGACAGAGCAGCTGAGCTGTGCTTTTGGTGCTAAAGCATGGCAAGGGCTGGAAAGAGACCAATATGTCTTCTTCTGATAGCAAATCATGAAAAAAATCTACTGAGTAAGTGATTAATGAGGTGACAAAAGATAATATTAACTGAAAGCTCATGAGTTGTTAGCACAAATCACAGTTGAGATGGACYTCATGGTAGGCTGGTGGTGTTTGTGTAGACCAATGCCCAGTAAAGAGCCGGTGAGGTGTCTCATCTTACAATCCTGACAGAAGAACATCTGCAAGGTCTCTCAGGTCATCATGTCCACACTGTTCTTCYGAGAGAAGAACAGCTGAGCCCTGTTCCAGATCTCCAAGAGGTAAATGGATGAGGCAACATCTTTGCTTTCTTTAAGCTATATCCCTATTTCTTGGAGTTTCATTCCTCTAGGTTCCATGTTTTATTGGACATGACAGTTCCTGCCAGACACGCATGATTTTGCTGATGAATCTGTTCTTAAACAAAGGTGTCATCTAACTTTGTGCCCAGCTGTATATTTTTAAAATATTGGCTGTAATCACTCCAGCCAGTGGGAATGTCTCAAGTCATCAGTTCTCCATATMAAATTATACCCCTTTGCATTGTGAGTTCAAGGCCTGTTGGCATCACTGAGCTGAGAGGGAAACGCCACCAACTCGTGTGTACATGTGAGAGGATTGAAGCAAACAACCACCTTGGCTGTGATAGAGATCTCCTGTGTGCATTAGGGTCCCATTAGCCCAGCCAAGGAAACAGATGAAAAACCCTCCAACGTTAAAACATTCCAAACCTGAGCCTTGGCAGGACTGAAAYACAAAATTTTGGCCCAAAGCCAGATTTAGCTAATGTAAATGGTGTGGAAGGTGGGATTTTCCAGTATGTGGGTCCCATTACTGCACTAATAAATACATTAATTATTTTTTCAAAAGGAAAAGGCAAGTTCGTTCTGGGAAGCTCATAAAACATGGTGAGGTTGAGTTCTGAGTATGGCAGCAGTAGGAGAGGCAGATATAAAAATTTTAGCTCTGCCTTTTCTTTAAAATACCCTGAAAATCTTAGAGAAGAAATGAAAATAAAACAGCGTTAATGCAACTGAGAAAAATAATGTAATGAAGACTTACTAGAAATCTTTCTCTCCTTGTTCCCTCTTCCCCCAAATATCTCCCTTTGTCTCTGTGTTTCTTTGGTATAAAACATTGTGTTTATAATATCTGCTTGATAGTGGTTTTGTACTTACCAATGAAACTGACTGTGCTCCTGACCTTTTCATTTTCTTAATTGTCCCATTATTAACATCAAAGGCTCCCTTTAATTCTCTATATCTCTTTCCTCTCTTCTAGACTTTTTTTCTGGCCTGTGCTGAAGTGCTGACTGAGCACTGCATTGAAACCTGCAGAATTTTTTCATGTACACAGTGCCACTTGSACTCAAGGAAGCATTGAAGTGTGTGCTTTATTTTAAGACCTATGGATAATTACCATGAAAGTTAAATATTTTCTCAAATCCTTCCTTGARTGGGGATGAGGGGCTTGCCTGTGTGTAAAGTGAAACCTTATTCTGAGCACTGAAAGTTAAGGGAGCCATTCAGAGTGTCCACTGTCCCCACTGCCAGACCTGCTTCCCTGTGCAGTCCATGCAGGCTGCAAATGTAAACCCTCTGCTAAGGACCTGCCGTTCTTTAAATGCAGGCATCCATCAGAAAGGATGATGAGAATATAAGGAAAAGKTGGGGATTGTGGATTTCTTTGTGTCTAGACGTGTTTCAGTGGGTTGGTTATCAGTCCTGATTACTGGTGACTTTTTAGTGCTGCGGTCGGACATGTGCTGAACAAAATGGAGGAAATATGGCCTTGGATGTGTTTTTGATGTGAAAATCTGTCGTACATTTAGATGTGTGCGTGCCTCCTGCTTGATTCATGCTCGCCAGGAAGGGGTCATTGGGCTGAGAGCTAATGAACTGCCATGGTAACTCATAAATTGCTTGGAAAATCCTGCAGTTCTGCCACATTAATAATCCTGCCATCCTGCTTTATGAGGCAATAAGCTGAGTCCCAGGGGCCAAGTGCTTCACATCCCAACGAGAGAACTGTGCAGGTAAAGAACAAAGCCTGAGCTCAGGGACAGAAGTTAATGTTGCTTTGGGGTGCCTGGTGCTGCTGGGAGACCAAAYGGGGTCAAGGAGAGGTGCTCGAGGTGCTCTGGGGTGGTGGGGGTGTGCTGACCTTTGCTTTCTCCGAGTGCTTGGGAAAGCAGCCTGGCTTTCTGTAAAATGTTGTGTTTAAACAAATGTTCTTTCAAGTTGGACTAGAGGCAGGGTCTGTGTTAAACAAGGCAGCTCTGAGGTGGTTGCCCTCATGATGGTGATGAGGAGAGAGGCAAAAAAGCTGCACAAATTCTCTCCTGTCATCTCAAAGGGACTGTGCTCTGGTCCATTAGCTCCTGTGCAGTAAATCTATCAATGCCTCAGGCTGGGTGAATGTAATGGTTCCTTTTGCTCTTAAAATTTATGAATTCATGAATGTAGAAAATGTATTTTTATCGCTGCAAAAGCTCTTTCTGTTGCTATAAAACTCAATTCCAAGATCTGCCAAAAATAGGAAAGGAACAATTCCAGACTTCCAAGAAA